TACTTAATAGCCACGGTGAGGAGTTTCCACTGAGCGCTGAGCCCTACATAATAGCCACGGTGAGGAGTTTCCACTGAGCGCTGAGCCCTACATAATAGCCATGGTGAGGAGTTTCCACTGAGCGCTGAGCCCTACTTAATAGCCGTGGTGAGGTGCTTCTGCTGAGCGCTGGATCTCCTCAAATCGGCCTCACAAATGTCCTGGGAACAAGGCGGGGCTGCAGCGCGGACTCTGTGGAGCGCTGGTCCAGCCTGATCTACCACACTGCAAAAGCCTAATGTAGTGCATATCTATAACGCTGGTACTCAGGAGGTAGAGGCAGAGGAGCCAATGTCCTCGGCTCAATAATGAGTTCAAGGCAAGCCTGGGGGACATGAGACACTGTCTCAAGCAAATAAACAAACAAAACTTGGGGTGAAAGCAAATTTAAGACGTTGGTCAATGTTTCTACTGGAGAAGACACGTTTTTAAAGGTCGTGTCTAGGAAGGCAGACAAGTTGCCTGTCACCCTCCCTCATGTTTGTCCAAAGAAAAGAAAAAATAAACCAGATGAGGGGCACTGGGCATGGAACCAGGGAGAGCAGACTGAGGGCCTGGGAGGGAGGAATTTAGGGGTACACTGTGCATCCCCTCCGAGGATAGACTGGGAAGGGTGATGAAAATCATGATGATCCATTTGTTCTCCTAGGTCCTTATGGGAGTGGCCGCCATTTTTGTTTTTATCGACCTAATTCTTCAAAGGCAACACCTCAAAGGAACGAGGATCCGAAAGGACGCTCTGGCAGACACTGGCCTCGAAAAGCTGCTGGAGACAGAAAAGAAATGATGGACAACGACACCTGTGGCAGGAATGGCAGCAAGTTTTGTGGCCAGCCCTTCCTACATGCTCCCCTGTTGGCTTCCTAGCCTACTTTTCTTTCCATCAATAAACACCTCTTGGAAAGTAAATTTCCTCTTTAAACGGATTTTTATACTAAAAGTTAGACAATATTTGTCCAGTGCATTTCGCCCCACAGAAACTCCTGGAGATTTGGGTGCTGAGAGAAGGCCCCCAATGGTCGTGATCCACGGGTTGAGAACCACTGCCCTAGCTGGTCTAGCCACCCTGAGGGAATCTTCCTCCAGAGGGGAAAGGGAAGACAGACAAGGAAGGGAGGAGATCAGTAGGGAGGAGCCTGGAGTCCTGAGTCTGAAATGGAGAATTAACAAACGGTGCTGCTCTGTGCGCATGGCAGACTTTCTCATCTCAGCTGTGCCCGACACAGGCGTTGGCTCCACTCCCTTGTCTTGGGAATTAAAGAATGGAACCCACAGACAAGGCTGAGTCCCGAAGAGGTTTTTTACTAGTACAGACAGAAAGCTTGGGAACTAGGGAGACGGATTTTTGGTTAAAGCATCCTGCACTTAGAGAGGACCCCAGGAAGGGTGGCTGACACCTACCTGTAACCCCAACTCCACAATCCAACTGCCCCTTCGGGCCTCCACATGCCAGCTACCCTCACATGCACATATCTCACACAGAAAAGCATAGAGACATAGAATAAGCCTTTAACAAAACATAAAAGGGAATGCTTAAAGATGAAAACTTGGGGGCTGGAGAGATGGCTCAGAGGTTAAGAGCACAGTCTGCTCTTCCAAAGGTCTTGAGTTCAATTTCCAGCAACCACATGGTGGCTCACAACCATCTGTAATGAGGTCTGGTGCCCTCTTCTGGCCTGCAGGCATACACGCAGACAGAATATTGTATACATAATAAATAGATAAATAAATATTTTATAAAAAAAAGATGAAAACTTAAAGATTTGGGGCAGTGGATCTAGAGAGATGGTTCATGGGTTAAAAGCACTGGTTGCTTTTCCAGGACCCAGGTTAAGTTCCCAGCATCCCCATGGTGACTCACAAGCTTCTGTGGATCCAGGGACCAGACACCCTTTTCTGATCTCCATGGGCACCACACACACATGTGGCATAGATACATGCATGAAGGTAAAATGCCCATACAGGGAATGAAACCACAAGATAGCTGCTAGCCCTGGCTGTGCCGTCAACAGAGCCGCACCAGTTAGAGCTGCAGCGAGGCCTCAGGCTGGCTGCTTCTTCCTTGCCTCAAGCCCTCTGAGGGAGTCTGAATTTTCCTGCTGCCGCCTGTCTACAACAGTGTCCAGATGCCAACCCAACTCCACAGGCCCCAAACTCCAGAGGATCCTGGACTCCATTTGGTATCAGCCACCCACAACTGGCTGGCTCTGCCGCGTGTACAGCTTCTGCATCTTCTCTTGGGTCTGCTTTTCAGACAGCTGGCTCCTTCTCCCCATGGGTTGCGGACTCCCCTGGATCCCCTCCTCTGACACATGAGGTTAGTCGCCTCTGCACCAGCTCAGGCTACCAGTGCTGTGATCACCACACACTCGCAGCTCACAGCTCTACATGGGCAGTGACTGTTGCCCTTAGCCTGGTTGGACACTGCCTGTGTTCTCTGCCCAACCACGCTACATAATGACAGTCAGCCTTGCCCTTCACTGTCACTATCAGCAGATCTGGGGAGATATCTGGGAATTCTTAGAGGGGGAAATTGATTTTTTAAAGAAGAGGGTAGGTTACCCCACATTAAAGATGGGAATATATACATATATATATTGTGTGTGCATATATATATATATATATATATATATATGTGCGTGCAGGGAGTTAGGTCTGTGAATAGATTCACAATGGATGATTTGAAAATGGACCAATTAAATGTTAATTCAGAATCCACTTAGCTGGGATTGAGGTAATGTCAATTATAATCGTTACCATTTGTGGTAACTCTTGTTTTATCCCTAAAAGAATTGTTTGATATTGGTGCCACATTAAAAAATTTGACTAATAAGATACAATCCTTAGAAGTACAGACTAATGATAGTAAGAAAAATATTTCTGCAGAGACAGAGGAGTTTAAGGCAGAAGCCATCATACCATTGTATTATGTAACTAAAGAGGAGGGGCCCAAGGTTATTAGAAAATGAACCTTAATCTATCCAGTCACCAATCAGGAATGACCACCAGATGCTAGGCATCCCCAAGGCTATTCAGAAGTTAACTGGGATCCTATCGAAATGTTCTGTTGGAACAGATTTAAGGAAGCAATAATTCCATATGGTATATATTCACCTTTTGTGAAGCAGATGTTAAATTCAAGGACTACTTGGAACAGAATTATTCTACCAGACTGCAAAGATTTGGTTACAGCCATATTGGAAGCTGGTCCTTAGTTACAGCGGAGGACCTGGTGAGTAGATGGCAATACTCGGGTCATCAAAGAATGACGGAGGGCTTAGAGGTTGAGAGTTCCCAAGGTCAAATTTGGTGAGGGCCATTATGCCTGATGTGGAAAGACATATTTGATGATCACACCTTGGCCCTATGCTGTACTGCAACTTTAAATGATTGAGACAAGATTGAAGAATCAGAAAAGAGGTCTGAGTGATTTATTAAAATTATACAAGGCTCCAAAAAACCTTCAATGATTTTGTACAAAGACTTGACTTTAGGTGTAAATAGAATGATATCAGATTCAAAAGTCAGATGAATATTAATTGAATCTTTTGCTTTTGAAAATGTTAATTCAAAATGTAAAGGGGTGATGAGTCCGTTAAAGGCAAGTTCAGATCCCATATGGGTCTAGTAGGCCCTCTAGCACATAATAATGATGAAACTGATCAACTATTTCATCAGCATTTCATAAGAAGCACAATGTTAATAGCAAGGGTTTGAAGATTCTTCTCTCACTTAGCAAAAGTCAAGGAAATTATAAGGAAATACCCTACTTGTTCTCTTTATACCCAAATTCCTCTACCTGCAGGAAGAAACCAAAAAGTACCAAAGAAAACAAATTTGGCTAATGGTTGTGTTTCATTTTGCAGAGTTTAGAAAATTAAATGTGTAACATGAAGGCCTGCTTGTTGGGGTTTCTGTCCTGCCCAGTTCCCACAGCCGGTAAGCCCCAAAGAAATTACACAGAAGTCTATATTAATAATAAACTGATTGGCCCATTAACTCAGGCTTCTTATTAACTCTTGTGACTTATATTAACCCATTATTCTTATCTATGTTAGTAACATGGCTCAGCACCTTTTTCAGTGGGGCAGGTCACATCCTACTTCTTCAGTGTCTGTACAGGACTGGGGAGGAATGGGCTTCCTCCTTCCTAAAATTCTCCTGTTCTCATTGCCCCACCTCTACTTCCTGTCTGGCTGTCCCACCTATACTTCCTGCTTGGCTATTTGTCAATCAGTGTTTATTTAAAACATAATTGACAGAATACAGAATTGTCCCGCACCATAAATGTATGCCGTAGATACATATTCAGAATTTCAATAGGCAACTACTTTGAGTTCTGAAAAGGCTGATTCTGTAATTACACATGTATTAGAAATCATGGCCATCATGGGGATACCTGTACAAATTAAGATTGACAATGCTCCAACTTATGTCTCTAGTAAAATTAAACAGTTTTTGTATATTACAAGTATACCAGACAATCCTATAGGGCAAACAGTTATAGAAAAATCTAACCATACTACAAAAGATATGTTTAAGAAACACAAAGGGGCAATAAAGATCCTCAGAGATAGATTGCACAATGCTTTATCAACTTTAAATGTTTAAATGCTAATAATAAAGGAATGACAGCTGTGGAGAGATTTTGGATTGATGTGGTATGTCTTTCTGTATTCTGTTGCTTTTATTGGTTAATGAACAAAGCTGCTTTGGCCTCTGGCAGGGTAGAATATAACCAGGCTGGAAGGGAGCTAGGGAGTGAGTAGGTGGAGTCAAAGAGATGCAGATCACTCTAGCAGAAAGAAAAGAGCCAAAAATCTAGCAGGGAGAGAAGAACCAAAAATCTAGGTTAGCCGGTTCAGTGACTCTGTTTCAGGAACTAGCTGACCATAAAGTTAGATTATAATCTTGAGAATAATCTTGAGAAATGGGGAGTTACCCCCTTGTAATTATCACTGGTATTTTTGGAATTTTCCAATAATCACTAGTATTTTCGGAATTTTCCAATGACGCCCTCCCGACCACCTTTGGGTTGTGATTTCTTCCCCTAAATACCCCTTCTTCCAGATACTCAAGGTTGAACTCCTCTACCCCTGTGTGGGATATGAGTCTCAGCCCCAGTCCTGTCAATAAACCTCGTGTGATTGCAGCAAGGACGGTCTCTCGTGAGTTCCTAGGGGGTTGTGCTATCCCGAGACTTGAGTGAGAGTCTCCTCACTCTGGGGGTCTTTCAAAGAAAACAAAGCAGTACAGTCAAAAAACATTTTTATGTGAATATTCTATACCTTAAAACTTATAAGTTTGTTTTGTTAAATGTGGTTAAAAATAAAATAAAACTAGTTAAAAAGTTAAAGCTAGCGGGGCAGTGGCAGCACACACCTTTAATCCCAGAACTCAGGAGGCAGAGGCAGGAGAATCTCTGTGAGTTCAAAGCCAGCCTGGTCTACAGAATGAGTTTCAGGACAGGTTTCAAAGCAACAGAGAAACCCTGTCTCAAAAAACAAACAAACGAAAAAAACAAAAACACTAAAAATTGATCATTTAAAATCTATGCATGGGCAATTTTAAAGAAACCATATAACGTGATCCCAATTTGAATTGCCACCATTTTGTAGTTAGTCACAAGACTGGCCACCATCTTGCTGGAGTTAAGAGAAGATATCACAGCATTTCACCACCATCTTAATTAGAGATGGCCATGTAAAATAAGTCTCACCGGAGACAACAGATTTACAAGATAATTTTGATTGAGGTAGATTTTTTTGTGATAATTCATGCCCTGTCCTAAAAACAAAGTTTAAAAGAAAATAAGATTTAACATATTAAAGCTGCATCCCAATGCCTTTATATTCAAGAATGTACCTTGCCCTACCTGCCACTTAAACTTTGCAATTTAAAAGTCACCC